TTCAGATCCAGGGAACCATCAATGGTATTCATCTAGAAGAGTTAATTTAAAATTCACATGTTAACACATAATTTTTTCTTTTGTTAAAAACGTATATTTACTTATTTTATTTCTGTTTGATTAGAGCATAGAATTTATGTATCTCTACCTAAAACTCGTTAATAGCTTTGGCCTTTTCAAAACACTCAGTGTCCTCATTTTAGCTTTAGCTTCTTTGGTTTGGATGTGGCCTGCAATTTTTTTGTGACAGTAAGCCAGTAGTTATTATGCATGGGGAACCCTATTAGATATGCAATATTTTGTACTAATTGCTAACAGAAAGATCTGTAATTCTGGCTGCATGATTTGCCCCTTACATGTGCCCAACTATAACAATCTGAATTTAGTACTGTGTTTGTTAATATTAGACACAAATTTATCCTGACACTTTTATAGGCAAAGCCTCAGAAACATTTAGTCATATAAAATATAATCATGGTCTTGAAATATTTGCTTTTGCTCCTGTGCTTTTTAGGCAGGATTTTGGTTTGTAGCCTTATCTGTACTGCTAAATTTGGAGAATGATTTGGAGAGGTTCTTTGAGGTCCTGATTGTAAGACAGGTGTTAATTTACACTGAGCTGTTACTGCGCTTTATCAAAGAACAGTTGTTTACACAATGTGAATATTCTCTGTCTCTACACATTTTTCAGATCTTCCCTATTATAGTGAATTAAATTTGGTTTTAATTTGCATTCCACTTCCAATGTTTGTTACCAGACACTTTGGACTTCTTGAGGGCAAATAAAAGTAGCTTCTGGTGTAAGTGAAATATTCTGTGTCAGAATAAAATAGCAAACCATTATGTAAAGGGCACATTTCCCCATGTGTTTACCTTATAATTTCATGAGCTAGACTTGTACAGAAGCTTTGAAAAAATTCCCATGGCTGTCATATTCATAAGTCTTTCTGACCCATTCAGACAGATGTTAGTATATTACTTGGAGCATACTATGAAACTTACCTTTCACTTACGGAAATGTGTTTGTACTTTGTTCTCTAAAAAGCAAATACAGAGACCATAAGACATGGGATAATAATAAACCTTTGGACACAGAGACATAAAATGGAATGTATGAGCCCTTGAAAGAGCAATTAAATACATTTTCATTTCAGCAACTGAAGATGAGAAACCAAAACAGATGGGCATGGGATAGAATAAATGAGGGAAAAATCAGTATTCATCATGCCTCTTGGCATTCTAGTGCACCAGTTCACTCTGTAGCATATTACAGTACATCAGATCTGGTTCTGCATTCCAGTCCCAGGTTTATTATTGTATGAAGTAAAAACTGAGAAAACCATAGGTACTTTCCCTGGAAATTTCTGGAACCATCTAGTAAGGAGTATCTAGCCATGCTATTATCAACAAACTGACTCAATTCCTTCTTGGAAATAGGTAGATTACATTCTATAAATAAATTAAAGAATAATTTCGTGTTTGCTATCAAAGGCACACACTGCCCTAAAAAGCATGGTGAAACATCCTATTATCATTATCAAGTGTCTTTCAAGATCTTAGAGGTTGAAAAAGAGCAAATTACTTGCTTACATCCTAGGAGCATCTGCCAAAAATACATCTTCACTAGGAGTCAAATGGAACTTTTAAAACAATGATCAACTTGGGCTTAGTGGGAAAGGAACCTTCCTATTCTTCATAATTCCTAAGAAAATCGAAATGGTTACTAATGCTTATTTTTAACCTACAAATTCCAGCTTGAAAGGCTCTGATCTGAATCACATGTGCAAAACTTGAAGAAGTGTATCAGTTATCTATTGTATCAGTTATACGTTCCAAAGTTTAGTAGCTTAAAACGACTGGTGCATACAGCTTCATAGTTTTGTAGGTTGGCAATTTGGGCTGAGCTCAGTTGGACAGATCTTCCTCTGTCGTGCCTAGGGGCTCCCAGTGGCCCCAAGCCGAAGTTGGAACCTCAATTGCCCTTCCGTCTCTCATGTTGCCTTCTTTCCTCAAAGAGGCTAGCCTGGGATTGTTCTCAAGGCAGCAGAGGTCCAAGAGTATGAAAGCAGAAACTGCAAAATTCACTATGTTCCTCTGCCACACTCTGTTGGTCAGAGTATGTTGCAAAGCCAATCCAGATTCAAGGGAACAGGAAATAGATTTCACCTCTTAATGGGAGGTGTGGCAAAGGAGTATTAACAGTAACTTTTTGTTGTTGTTGTTGTTGTTTGAGAGGGAGTCTCGCTCTGTCACCCAGGCTGGAGTGCAGTGGCATGATCTAGGTTCACTGCAGCCTCTATCTCTCAGGTTCAAGAGATACTCCTGCCTCAGCCTCCTGAGTAGCTGGGACTACAGGCACATGCCAGCATACCTGGCTAATTTTTGTATTTTTAGTAGAAAAGGGGTATCACCATGTTGGCCAGGCTGATCTCAAACTCCTGAGCTCTGCCCATCTCAAGCCTCCCATAGTGGGAGTTGATCTGCCCATCAAAAGTGATCTGCTCGTCTCTGAGCCATTGGCCCTGGTTCAGAAACACTGGGGATGTGGCCCAGCCATCTGGAATTCCCGAAAGTCCTACAGGTGATTCTGAGGCCCACTAAAGCTTGAGGACCAGACTGCGGAACTTTGTGTTTAGACATGGTCAATTTGGCACTTAATTGAGTTCTGTGTTATGTTTTCTGTAATTGTTTAATCTAGACAGGTCTGTTGAAGCTTTGCATTGAATGGGGCTATGAAGCCAAAATAATCTCTTCTCTTTACTTGGTGTCCATGCAGTGCAAATTTTCTTTCACTCTGGCTAGGAGAAGAGTAAGAGATACAGCCCTAGTTCCAGACTGCTGCTCTTGCCTCCAAATCCTCTTTGTTCACTCAGCTTGTAAAGCATCAGGAGCTTGCAAAGCCCCTGCAGGTGACGCTCTACAGTTGCAGGTGTCGCCTGCAAGGAGCTGATTTATTAAAAGCCCTGCCAGGGTGGTTTAATCCCTGTGAAGTGATATTGTAACTCACCTCTAGCTGCTGTCCTATCAAAAAAGTCACCCTCTGTCCTCCTTCTCTTTGTTTACAAGCACCAGTTAATGGTTTTCTCTCCATTAAGCAGCTCAGGGGACTGCTATTTAGAGAACTAATTGAATTCTTGCCAAGTTTGGGCATGATCCAAAGCTGCTCCAATTCTCAGTATTTTCCATGCTATGTATTTTCCTCTATTCTAACATGTATATAGCGTTGATACCTCTATCTGTAGAATGTAAGAAATTGTAACTCTATACATGAGGGCATATTATACATGTGGTAGTTTCTGCTCCTTAGCATGAAGATACACCTCATTACTCTGCAATGCAAAACTAAAAATATGCATGTTTTAAAAATCTGCCACAAGAATCAATATGTTAATTTCAGAAATTATACTACTATTTATGAGATTTATTCCATAATGAAGAGACAACAATCCATTTTTCTCTCCCCCAATTCTACCACCAATCCTGGCCCCTACCACCAAATTTGAATAGTACCTCTTTGATGGCCAAAAATATTATAGTTAGTAAATTAGTTCATTCTCACATTGCTAAAAAGAAATGCCTGAGACTGGGTAATTTATAAAGAAAAGAGGGTTAATTGGCTCATGGTTCCATCACGCTTCCAACAGGAAGCATGGCTGGGGTGGCCTCAGGGAAATTTTATTCACGGCAGAAGGCAAAGCCAGAGCAGGCATCTTCACATGGGCAGAGCAGGAGGAAGTGGGGCCTGGAGGTGGCACATACATTTAAATAACCAGGTCTCATGAGAACAGCACTAAGGGAATGGTGCTAAGCCATTAGAAACCACTCCAGTGATTCAACACCTCCCACCAAGCCCCATATCCACCATTGGGAATTACATTTCAACATGAGATTTGGATGAGCACACAGAGCCAAACCATATCTGGTAGCATATTAACATTCTTAGCTACTTAAAGAATACAGTTTTTCTGGCCCTTAGGAATTATTTATCTATAAGACTGAAAGAGGTTAATCATCAAGGTAGGGATTTGTGAGACTGCATCTATTCATGGGTCGAAAGAGACTGAAGAGATAAAGAGGAAGAGTTGGCAAACAAATAAGTGAATAAATATTATAAGAAAAAACACTAATTACAAAAGGAAAGGTTATTTTTCTTTTGACTTTGGTTTTGATTTTGTTTGTTTGTTTTTGAGACGGAGTCTTGCTCTGTCATTCATGCTGGAGTGCAATGGCACTATCTCAGCTCACTGCAACCTCTGCCTCCCCAGTTCAAGTGAGTCTCCCACCTCAGCCTCCTGAGTAGCTGGGACTACCGGCACCCACCACCATGCTGGGCTAATTTTTGTATTTTTAGTAGATACAGGGTTGGCCAGGCTGGTCTTGAACTCCTGACCTCGGGTGATCCACATGCCTCAGCCTCCCAAAGTGCTGGGATTACAGGCACGTGCCATGGTGCCCGACCTTCTTTTGACTTTTTTTTTTATTCTACTCAATAGATATCAAGCTAAAAATGTATGCACTTTTTGAATGTGTACTACATGAAGCATGTGGAAGTCAATCCTGTGATTTTCTCTACTGCAATCTAATGGAGCACAGCACATTTGCACTGCACATTTTGGCTCTGGAGCATCTTTTATTCCCTCTGGACAGGTTCCTTTAGATTGCTCATGTAGGGATTTGGGGAGGGGGAGCATTTTTAATGTTATAGTCTATGCCTTAAAGGAAATCTTCAATACTTATGCAATACAGTTTTTCTCCCCAAATCTATTTGCTCCTCCTCTTTGGTCTCTCAGTTTATATTACCGCCTGTGATTCAAGTTCTGGGTGACATGCATATCTGCTGTTTTGTTATTGCTCTTAGCTCTTTTCAGCCATCATCCCTTTGATAGCATTAACGTTCTGGGATGAGTAGCTTCATCTTCCACAGAATTATTCTTGGACCATAAAATATTTCAGAGCTGAATTATTTGAAGTAACTGCTCTTTGTTGCTTCCCTTTCACAGTTTGTGGAGATGAGTGCACTGGCCTTCTTCTCGGTGACTTGGCTCGCCTGGAGCAGATGGCCATGAGCATCAACCTCACTGGCCCGCTGCCTGCGCCATATAAAATGCTGTATGGTCTTGAAAATATGACTCAGGAGCTAAAGGTAGGTTGGAGCAGTAATAGTAAGGGCCAGGGACAAGGTGACAGATGCTTCACAAGTGATATTGGCTGTAATTGGTAAGTGTTCTTTCTGCAGCCCCAAATAAGGGACACAGCTATTAGGGAAATTCAGAGACTTTACTAACCAATGTTTTTCAAACTTAAGAACTATAATATACAGATTTCTATTAAGGGAAAAGTGTCTCATGTACCCCCCAGTGTCTGGCCTAAATCAGTCTTATTATGTTTCTTAAATATGTGCAAACATAAAATCAGGTATGAACTCTTTGTACTTATAGCTCTATAAAATCAAGACAAATTGATCCTTGCAAAACCCTACAAACCAATAAAATTCAAATTAAAAACATTAATATAAAGTAACATCAGTTTGGCTGAATGGAAATTGCTCCTTGCAACAAGAATAGAATGTTGACTATTTCCACACAGTTCTTCCACCAGAGGAGAACTCAGTTCTCCTACCCTTACTACATTTGAACCAGAGAGCCCCCTGCAAAGGGTCCTGAAATGACACATGGGCATCACTTGATGAGTTTATGTGAATTATGTGCTTAGCCTGCCAAAGGGTCAAACACACAAGCAAATGTAGTCACTGAGATCAGGTGGCCATATTCATTTCTCAGCTTCCTAGCCTGGCATCCAGAAATACTTACGTTGATGTCTAAGGTTATCATCAAAAAGAAAACACATGATTAGAAACTTGTACTAGAGAACCAGTAGAACTTTAAAAGTTCTTCAACAAGCATTAGTTTGGTAAACATTGTTCTAAAATATGGTTAAAGCTCTTGGTAGTTAACAAGGTAGGAGAAAACATTAAGGAACTTGGGGTTATTTCACCTGATGAAAAAGATGAAAGGTGTCAACTTACTTTCAGTCTCTTATCAGATATTTATTGAGAAATTACAGAATGCCTCAGCATTGCACTTGGTTCCCTTGGGATTTCATGACTCTTTTAGTATCTTCGCTACCTTCAGGGAATGTAGATTCTATGTGCTTTAAAAATAATCATTAAACACTAGTCAAGCAATTAGCAAAAATGCATAATCACCATGTGTTTTACAAACATTCAAAGTATGCTAGAGTACAAATATTGGAGAAATCAGTAAGGTTCAGAGTAACCAGGGAATGCACCATTACTGAGAGTATAATTTTTGTTGGAATTTGAAGGGTAGATCCAATTTTAATAGTCAGAGGAGTATTGATTGCTCTAGAGGAAAGCATCTAAGATTTATTCACTAGGCATTGGTAGATACTCTTTCAGGGAATGTATTCTTTAATTCTGACCATAACCTTTAAGGTAAGTATTATTATCCTTATTTTTCAGAAGAAAAAAACAACAATGATGACACCAAGAATAACTAACATTTATTGAAAACCTAGGCAATTGTCTGAAGTCTTACATGGATTACCATACATAGCTTTTACAGAAACTCCAAGAAATAAGAAAGTTATCATGGTCCAAGTATTTATATTTCCCTGAAATTCGTGTTGAAGGTCTATCGTAGTCCAGTGGAAATGCTAACTGATTAGCTTATATAACAATAGAAATGTATTTCTCACAATTCTGAGGCTGGGAAGCCGAAGATCAGGGTACCAACAGGTTCAACGTCTAGTGAAGGCCTGTTCTTCATAGAGGGAGACTTCTTGCTATGTCATCACACTTAATGCATTTAATATCTGCATACTGAGGGAAAAGGTAGCTAGCTCTCTGGGGTCTTTTTAAGAAGGGCACCAATCCCAATCATGAAGCTTACATTCTCATGACTTAATCACTTCTTAAAGGCTCCACCTCCTGATATCATCACATTGGGACTAGGGTTTCAACACATGAATATTGGAAGGACACAAACGTTCTGACCACAGCAAGCCCTGACCCCCAATGCAATGGTATCTGGAGATCTCTCTGCCATGTGAGGACACAGGGAGAAGGGAGCTGTGCTTAACAGAGTCATGTGAGCAGAGGCAGTGGTGTGAACTAGGCCTGTCTGGCAGATATTAAAAGTCAGACCTGCTAGTGAGAGATAAGGCTGGAGATTTCAGTGAGGCAGGGTGAGATGAAGGACAACCTTGAAAGCCAGGCAGAGGAACCTGAGTTTACCTTGTAGTCCCAGTATTCAGGGATGCAAAGAGTTTTCATAAAAAGAATACTGATCAGTTATTTTATTTTTTTTATATGGAGGGAACACAGAAAAATAAAACCAGAAAAGAAAACATTTTAGTTGAACAGAAAACATTTAAAAACCAATGCTTAAGAAATAGATGATGAAATAAAGAGGTCCTATAGAAGAGGCTGAACATCATCTAAGCCAAGGGATTCAGTGAGCCATCCACTTCTGGTTGGGTATTGATCCAGATGACCTGGATTTTCCTGAAATTCCAGTCTTTCTTAGTTCTGTATTTTGTTTTTCTTCCATCATTCATTTGACATTTGTATACTGAGGATCACCTTTTGATATTCTAAAATATTATTTCACCTCTTTGCTCAATTTAACTATGTCAGTGCTCCCCAAGTTCCAGCCAAAGAGCATCAAGGACACACATGTGATGGAACCAAGTGGGGATTATTGTTGCAACAAGGGACATTGAACACCATGGGAATTGTGGGCTGTCTCAGTAAGAAGGTGTTAGGAATAACTTCTAGTATTTGAGGTTGTGCTAGGTGCTATTTGGAAATGGGAGTAATTCTGTGAGTGTTCTGTGAATTCTATCTAGAGAGAGGGAAGAACAGAGGGAGGATAAAGCTATGATTATAAGGAGGCAGTGGTCACTCATATTATCCAGGAAATGGGGGGGTTGGGGTAGTTTTGTGGTCTGCACAAAACCTGTGCTTAGACATTACAGGGTAGCCTCATTTGTTTGTTTGTTTCATTCATCATTGGCTCCAAATGACCTTGTCTAATGTTAGCATCCTATGATATTATTTATGTTTCATAGGAAAAAATATGGCCCCGCTGTGCCAGGCCAGTTCCTAGCAACACCGAGGGCAGGCCAGTTAGTCAGTGCCTCGCCAGGTCCCTATGTCAAGGCCTGCCATTCTCTTTTATACCTGTTATCTGTGACTCTGTTAATTGGAATGGGAGCCTTAAATGAGCCAGAGAAGGAGTTTATCTTAACTCTACCCCTTACTGACTGTGTGATCTCCTGCACATTTTTAACTCTCTTCGAACCAGTTTGCTCACTTCTGAAATGGAATACGCATAACCCTCATAGAGATGTGAGAATTAGATGAAAAAAAAAAAAAACAAAACAAAACAAAACAAAGCCTGGCACATAGTAATTTCTTAATATATATCACTGCAATTTTTATTATTTACCTGATTATTTGGCATGACACCCAATGTGTAAGTGCCCAATTGAAATAGTTTCCTTCTCTTTTCTTTGAAGGTGAGAAGGCTAAGTTCTGTATATACATAGAAAAATGTGTGCTGTTAAACACTGATTACTGCAAGGCCATTTACTAAAATGTGATGGAATTTTTTTCAGCATTTGCTCTCACCTCAGCGAGCCCCAGAGAGGCTTATTCAGCTGGCAGAGGGCAATCTGAACACGCTTGTCACCGAAATGAACGAGCTGCTGACCAGGGTAAGTTGGCAAAACTGTGAATCTTCTGAAGGCAGATAGATTATGTAAATTAAGGAAAATTATTTCGAAGTTCTGAAATGCCAAGCGGCTTCTTCTTAATTCCCAATTTGGTACATAAAACAAATGTATTGGGACTTGCTACTTCTGCTTCAAATCAAATCATAGAAATCAGTAGCCCACAGAAAAGTTTGGGATACCTGGAAATTATCAAGAACGATGGCAGGAAAAGTCCAGAATGACAGTGTATTTTGAGAACTTCATTCAGTAGCCTCCATGGTGAAGTTTTTATGTGTTTTGATTTCTAAAAGCACTATCCTCAATTATGTAAAGAGAAAGAAAAACAAGTGAAAATACTTGTGGTCTCTTTAATCTCATTGCGGGATTTTTGCATTCGTATAGAAATACAGTGTAAATCAGTTTCACACAAAAGAGAAAATTGTCTCTATTTTGAGACTCCAAAGCATTGAAGACAACTTTTAAAAGTCAGAATGTAAAGTCCATGTTGCATTTATCAGGCTTTTTAAGGAATTGGAAATTTTAAATTTTCAGAACTGCAATGGCATTAAAAACTTTTTGCTGTTAGAGAATGAAGAAATCAACATAAAGCCCGCCATCTTGTGGCCAGAAATATGCATGAAGTGAGAAACTGGGCTGCAAAGTAAGGATCTAATTTGATGATCTAAGAGCTTTAAATGATAAAGAACATTGGAACTAGAAGATTCCGGGAGATTATCTAGTCCATTTTGTATTTTAAGGAAGAGCTGTGTCGGGCCATGACAGTGAACCGAATTAACAATGGCCACACAATTCGCTAAACCCAGGGACTTAAGCAGAACCCAGCCTCAAGATTCCCAGTGGCCCAGTACTTTTCCTACATAGCCTTCTGTTGGTTTAGAAAAATTTCCGCAGGGAAATCAAATAAGTTTCTGAGCACATAATGCTAAACAATGGCCCTGAGGTTACAATAGCATACTAAACACTTTATCAGAATCTCATAGCAACAACACAGAATGTAGAGATACAACATGGCCTTTCTTGCCAAATATATATAGACATTAGATTAAATTGAGTGCATTTATCTCATATTTTAATATAAAAGAATTCATATTTGTTATGTGGTTACTAATAAATAAGAATTTTTTAACAGGTCATGGCAAAATAAATCAATTCAAGAAGCACACATAAATGTTTGTAACATACAAAGCCTAAGTTAAGTGTTGGCAGATGAAAAATATGAGTGAGGCTTATTCTGTCTTCAAAGAACTTTCAGGGTGTGTGTGTGTGTGTGTGTGTGTGTGTGTGTGTGTGTGTGTACATCAGCATTTAGGTGTATGTAGGACAATATTAGACAACTGCATACAAGTATATAATAAAATACGAAATAAAATTGGAAGAAATTCTTGAGAAATTTGTAATAATAGAACAATTTCATCTGATTGGGGTAATTAGAAAAAAATTTCATGCAATAAGTGGCATTTCATTCATGCATTCATTCATTCACTTAACTAATACTTACTGGGGGTCTCCCATATTCTAGGGATTATGACAGACACTGGGGATAGAGGTGTGAGCAAAACTGCACGGTCGTTGCCCTCATTGGTTTAGAATTGTCTATTGATCTGACCTTAGAGACACAAGAAGTATTTCATCAAGAGTGTCAAGTCTTCATTATGTCTCAGCCTACACTCTTTAATCTTTCCAGCAGATTCTCTCACATTACATTTTTTAAACAGACTTTATTTTTTAGAGCAGTTTAAAGTTGAAAGAAAAGTTGTGTATAAAGTTCAGAGAGTTCTCATATCTACTCCCTGTCCTCACCGCCTTCCCCACTGTCGACCTACCCCACCAGACTGGTACATTTATTATAATTGATAAACCTAAGTTGATACCTCCTCATCACCCAAAGTCCATGGTTTACATTGGGGTTTGCTCTTGGTGTTACACATGCTATGGGTTTGGACAAATGCATTATGATATGTGTCCACCATTGTATTACAGTATAGAAAAGTTTTACTCACTAAAAAATCCTCTATGCTTCACCTACTCATACCTCCCTCCTCCTTGACCCCTGGCAACCACTCATATTTTAACTACCTCCATAGTTTTGCCTTTTTTTTTAGAATATATAGCTGGAATCATACAGTATGGTGTTTTTTCATATTGGCTTATTTCCCTTGGTAATATGCACTTAAGTTTTCTCCATATATTTTCCTGGCTTTCTAGCTCGTTTCTTTGTAGTGCTGAATATTATTTCATTGTCCAGACATATAACAGTTTATTAATTCCCCTACTGAAGGGCATCTGGTTGCTTCCAAATTTTGGCAGTGTGAATCAAGTTGCTGTAAACATCTTTATGCAGACTTTTGTGTGGACATAAGTTTTCAACCTATTTGGGTGAAGCTGAAGGAACATGATTGCTGAATTGTATGGTAAGAGTATATTGAGTTTTGAAAGAAATTGCTAAAATGTTTTCCAAACGGTTGTTGCTAGTTTGCATTCCCACTGGCAATAAAGGAGAGTTTCTGTTGCTCCACACATGGCAAGGCTGATCCTGCATGACTGCTGTAGGAGCTGCCTTCTCTTCTTTAAGGGGTTTTATATTTTATACTCTTTTTTTTTAGACAGAGTTTTGCTCTTGTTGCCCAGGCTGGAGTGCAATGGTGTGTTCTTGGCTCACTGCAACCTCTGCCTTCTGGGGTCAAGCAATTCTCCTGCCTCAGCCTCTTGAGTAGCTGGGATTCCAGGCATGCACCACCATGCCTGGATAATTTTGTATTTTTAGTAGAGACTGGGTTTCTCCTTGTTGGTCAGACTGGTCTCGAACTCCCAACCTCAGGTGATCCGCCTACGTTGGCCTCCCAAAGTGCTGGGGTTACATGTGTGAGCTACCGCACCTAGCCTATGCTCTTTATTTTTTTTTTCAATGGAGAAATCTAATTCCCTAATATCCCTGGGTAAAGCGGATATTATTCCTCTCAATAACTCACATTTAAAATGTCTTTTGATATGTTTTAATTAATGTATAAATATAAAGTAAGAAAACACTTCACAATCATATATCTCTTTCAATGCATTTAGCTTTATTGCCATTTTCTTTCACTCATCAGAAGAACTCAAGTTCCTCAAGTATGAGAATCATGTTAAACTTATTTCAAACTGCCCTACAATATGTGTGGAATATTAATATGCTTTTTGGTGATGACTCTACGTACCTCTATAGCTATTGTCCTTAGCTCCTTTCTTTTTTCAGAACCAAAATTTTTGAAGACTTGGAGACAAGTCTGTGTTTATTTCTCACTCCACTGCTGTCCGGGTTTTCACTCCCAACCCACTACTGAGACTGATTTTTGTAAGATAACTAATGACAATCTAGTAACTAAATCCACTGGATGCTTTATTGATTTTACCTGAAATCTCTGCAGCAATTGCCAGCTTTGATCTTTCCTTTTTTCTTGATGTACTCTCCTCTCTCTGTTTTTCTCTTAATTCTCCAACCTTTCATTCTAAGGCTCTTCCTCTCATCATCCCTTCAAAGTTGGTGTTCCTTGGGATCTAGGCCTCAGTCCATGTTTCCTCTCATTCTATAACTCTTTCTTTGGTCTTCAATTGCCATGTATGAGCTGTTAATTCATATATCTTTGTTTTCAAGGCTGACTTCATTCTCCTGCTTTGGCCCTATGTGCTTTACTAAGGATCGGACATCTCAAACTAAACTCATCACTTCCTCTTAAAGCCCATCCTTTCTCCTATTTAGACCATTTCTGTTTTCTCCTCCAGTGTATGCACAGTCTCCCAAAGAGAAATTAGCCGGTTGCTCTTCTCTCTACTCCCTCTTTCACCCGTCTTCCAATTCAGTTCCCTTCTATGGTGGCTCTTCATAAGCCTTATCCAACTCCAACCAATTATCTATATGGCAGATTAAACAGTGTAAATTACAAATCCTATCATGCTATTCTCTTCCTTAAATTGTACTATGACTTTCCACTTTGTTCAGGATGACATGCAGTGCTCTCCCACCGGGGTCTAATCTCTGTTTCTCTCTCATCTCTCCCCACTACTCATGGTCCGGTCACCTGGGCCCCCATGGACTGAGCATACAAGCCAGAAACCTATGAATCGTTGGTGACTCTTTCTTCCTCATCATGCTCCTGCTTTTCCAATTCATTACCACACACACTGGGCTTCTGCTTCCATGTATAGCATTCGTCTCTGCTATCCCACTCTCATCCGGTCTCATGTTGTGTAGTTTGGGATTACCACATTTGTTTTTTAGCTGGTCTTTCTGCTTTTACTGTTGTTCTTCTCCAAGTCTGTTCTCTGCAACCTCGCCTGAATGAATGTTTGCTATTCCAAACATGAATATGTGGTCGAAGTGCTTACAAATTCTTCCCCTGACTTCCCTCAGGCTCTCAGGATAAAGACCAAAATTCTCCCCTTGGCCACATCTCCCACCACTTGAGTCCCTGGCCATCTGCACTCCAGCTGTCCTGTCCCCCAGCCACCTTGTCCTACCACAAAGCATTGCCACACATTTATTTTCCCTTAAAGGTAACCTACCTCTCCCTGCATTTTGTTAATTTCTATTAACTCCAATTTACCTCTCAAATCTCAGCTCATGAAAGCCCTCTGGGCCATCGAGGGGTCCTGGGATTCCTCCTGTTCTTATCTTACATCATTTGTTTTTCCTCCAGTTTGTAATTATAAATTTATCTATGTGATCATTTGACAAATAACTCTCTAGTCTGCCAGACTATAGACTTCAAATGGGCAAGAAGCCTTTTTGTTTCTTATCATAGTATCACCAATGTTATACACATAATAGGTGTTGAGTCAATATTTGTTTAATTAATTAATTGTGAATAATTTTAATAGCATTTGAACAACAAGATGAAATGTAGAGAAACCCAAAAGAAACACTGATTTTGCATACTTTAAAATGCATTAAATCAGGCCTATATTTATAATTAAATTGTTGAATACTTTTTATTGATAAACATCTC